TCACCTCTGAGTCAGAAGGTTGTGGGTTCAAGCCCCCAAGTTGGGACTTGGAACTCACAAACTCGGCTGACGATCCCAGCACACTCCTGGGGAGAGACAGATTGTCAGAGGTGCCATCCTTCGGATCAGTCTCAAAACCAAGTCTGCGCTTGTTCAGGATGACATGGCACTGTTGCAAAAGAGAAGGGAGTTTCTCTCTCCTGGTGTCCTGGCCAACAATCCCCCAGATAAACTTGGTCACTCACTCCATGGCTATTTGTGGACATTAATGTGAGCAAATTGCCTGTCGCGTTGATCGCGTTGGAGTCCTGTAGCTCAGTGGTTAGAGCACTCGCTTTGCAAGTGAGAGACCTGAGTTCAATTCCAGACAGAGGGCGAAACCTTGGGCAAGTTTCCTTACTCCACACAGAGCCTAATAATAATCCCTCCAAAAAACAAAACAATAATAAATTGGTCATTTTCAATCTACGACTGTTTGTGGGACATTGCTGTGCGCAATTGGCTGCCGCGTTCGCCCACAAATATACAGTCAATTCACTTTACAGTGTGTTCTGTGAAGCGCTTTGGGACGTCCTCCCGACGTGAAAAGCGCTTTATCCAAATGCAAGGATTATTATTATTATTATCTACAAATAATCTGTCATTAGGATTCGGGAGCGATTAAACGTCAGGGCACTTGACATTATAATAATAATCCTTGCATTTGATAAAGCACCTTATCACATCATTGAGACGTCAAAAAGTGCTTCACAGAATATATTGTAAAGTGAATTGATTGTGTATTTTGTGGGCAAAACGCAGCAGCCAATTAAACACAGCAGTGTCACACTAACAGTCCTGGATTGGCTAACCACTTTCTTTTGAGGAATTATTACGATCCGTCAATCGACTAAAATCAGGTTCCTACTTACTGCTAGATAAACAGAGGCGTGTAGAGTAAGGAAACTTGCCTAAGGTTTCGCCCCACCTGGGAATCAAACTCCGGTTGTCTTACATGTGAGGCGCGCTAACCACGACCCAACAGGACTCATTAGAAGAGGCTATGTGTTGAGGTGCTGTGCCCCTTTAACAGGAACGCTCGTGCCCAGAAACCCTCTGTCTGTGACTTTTCATTATGTGCATCAGTGTTTGTTTTTATGACACGCAGCTATTTGGAAGATTATTGTAAATAGAATTACTTTACACTCCAAACAATGGTTTGCAGGAGTCACTGGGAGAATCACCGAGTCACCACGGACACACAGAGCAAAAAGCAGCATTGCTGAGTCAGAAGCCAGCGGCTAGTGATCACCCCAAAACACCCACAGCGAGGGAAAGGTCAGGAAAGGTCTGTGTTTAATATAATAATAATTATTTGTAATAGCCCTTGCATTTGTATTGCGCCTTATCACAGTGTAGAGGGAGCTTCACTATGTCCCTAACCCGTGCAGTCACTGACGTGGGAGGGTCGCAAGGACATCTCAAAGTGCTTCATAGGATTTACTGCGAAATGGTGTGAGAGTGCATTTATCGGCAAATGTGGTAGCACAATTGCACAAATCAATGTCCCACAAACAGCCATGAAACAAATGGCTGATTTTTATTTGGGGGATTGTTGGCCAGGACACCAGGAGAGAGAAACTCCCTGATCTTTTCTCACAGTACCGTGGGATCTTTAACGTCCACCTGAATAGGTGCAGATGGGAAGCTTGGTTTAATATCTCACCTGAAAGACAGCGCTTCCAACAATGCTGCACTCCCCACAGCACTGCACTGGAGCATCAGCCTAGACTGTGAGCTCAAAGTCTCCAAGTTGGAGCTTTAACCCACACATTTCCGACCTGAAAGCAAGAGTGATACTGACTGAGCCAAGCTGGTACTTACACTGTGATACAGTCCCTCTGACCCCAATTATCACCAGATCACAAGATTGGTTCAGTTGCAGAAGACCCTTCAACTCATCTGATTTCATCCCTCTGGAACACCCTCCCATCACAGTATCAAACTGTGTTTTAAATGAGTACGAGTATCCTGACCTCAACCATATCCTGACCTCATCCAGTGGAGTCCTGTAGCTCAGTGGTTAGAGCACTCCCTTTGCAAGTGAGAGACCTGAGTTCAATTCCAGGCAGAGGGCGAAACCTTGGGCAAGTTTCCTTACTCTACACAGAGCCTAATAATAATCCCTCCAAAACCAAAAACAATAATAAAATTGGTCATTTTCAATCTACGACTGTTTGTGGGACATTGTTGTGCGCAATTGGCTGCCGCGTTCACCCACAAATATACAGTCAATTCACTTTACAGTGTGTTCTGTGAAGCGCTTTGGGATGTCCTCCCGACGTGAAAAGCGCTATATCAAATGCAAGGGTTATTACTGTTCTAGTCGTTAACAACAATAACAACTTGCATTTATATAGAGCCCTCACTTAGCGTAGCATCCCTGAGCGCTTGATAGTGGTGGAGCACAATGCCGAGCTGGAAGGAGGAGGGAGGTGACCTTGGCACGGTCGAAGAGGAAGGTCTTCATGTGCGATCTGATGGTGGGAATGAGGGGTCAAGGCTGAGGAATAGAGGAAGAGTGTTCCAGAGTTTCAAGGTTAATTACACTCTGAGTAAAGAAAAACTTCCCGGTGTCTGTTCTGAAATTGCCCCTTTGCAACTTTAAACCTCCGACCTCTTGTTCTACTGTCTTGATACATCTGAACGCATTGTTTACTTTGTCAATCCCATTTATAATTACAGCCTGATACCCTTGGACTATTTTGATTTTGGGAGGTCAGGCAACTGAGCAACATTCTCTCCTCACCTGATGTGTAAACATACTCACATTCCAGCAGGGTTCACTGGGTTGTGCCAGGAACCTCAGGGAGGTCATACTGGTAACTTGTTGGCTAGCACAGAATAAGCTTCACACTATCTCTAACCCACGCTGTTGCTGACCTGGGAGTGTGGACGACAGGGTAGAGGGCGCTTTACTGTGTCTCTAGCCCTGACCTGGGAGTGTGGATGGACAGTGTAGAGGGAGTTTTACTCTGTCTCTAATTCTGATGTGGGAGTGTGGATGGACAGTTTACAGGAAGCTTTACTCTTGTCTCTAATCCGTGTTATTGCTGATCTGGGAGTGCGGACAGACAGTGTAGAGGAAACGGTACTCACCTAAAATTGTGATCATACTAGTCAATAACTAAAACCAATAGATGTGAGCTCTCTTCATCTCACTCCTCCCCTCTCCCATGACTTTACTGAATGGTTTGGCCCAAATACTGTGACGTTTGAGACTGGGGTAAATAAATAACTAATCCTTGCTTTGATTTTGGGGAGGGCAGACAATTGAGCAACATTTACAATGTACAGCATCTCACAGGGAAGTGTTGCCTCGGTGTAGTGACTGTGTATTTGTAGACAAATACAACCACGTCAGCATCATTTATATATAAACTCCCAACATTCCTCAATATACATTCCAGCCTGGAACTCTGTGCCTGCGTCATTCTATACATACACCACTCAGACCCAGGATTAGACTCCAGCATTTAATGCAATCCTGAGGGGAGGGGCTGTTATTCTATAGATTCCCCCCGCATTTACGAACCCTGGATTAGACTCCAGATTTAACTCACTGTTGGCAAGAAAAAAATGGTAGTTAAGGTTTACTTCAAAAATGAACCCCTGTCCCCCACACACATACAATGCAAATATAATAATCTCATATTTAAGGCAATTTCAAACACACAAACTATCTAACAAACAAACACAGGGAAGTTTTCTAAAAGTCCTACCGGGGGATATTGGTATAAGCATAAATAATTAATGATTCATATTCTATATATAACTCCGTCCCTCCCCCAAACCCCTGGATTAGGTTCCAGCCCGTAACTCACTGTGAGGGTGGGGGGGAGGAGGCTGTTTTATACATATCCCCCACCACCACTACCAACAACAACAATCCTGGATTAGATTCCAGTCTGACTATCATATCTGGATACAAATTTACACAGAATGTACATTTGCATTAATATTAAGATCTGGTCTGGTCTTTTCTCCCTTAAGAAAAAAATCAATAATAAATTGGTCACTTCAATTCACGACTGTTTGCGGGACACTGCTGTGCGCAATTGGCTGCCGCATTTCGCCCACAAATATACAGTTAATTCACTTTATAATATATTGTGTGAAGCGCTTTGAGACGTCTAGAAGACGTGAAAAGGTGCTATATCAAATGCAAGGATTATTATTATTATTATTATCATCCTCCCCCCCACACCCCTCACAACACAAAGACACACACAGTTTAAACACACAGGACTTTGTGTCTGGGCGGGGGCATGCGTGAAGAGATGTTTAATTGTTCCTAATTGTTCCAAATCCTAATGCATCTCACTGATAAACCTTGCCAATTCTATTATAACAACCACATATATATATATATATATATATATATGCAGCACAAACCTTTCTCTCTCCTCCTAAAATACTTTACAAACTTTCCTTTTTTGTTAATACAGTACAAAAAAATCTTTACCCTTAACTTTAGGTGGGGGTGGGGGGGGGTGGGTGGGGGGGAGGGGAGCACAACTTCCCCCACTTTTCCCCTCCAAAAAAAGTTACAAAAAAGTTATGTTTAAAGGGCTGGTATTATTTTTTGTCAGCAAAACAAAATTGTATTTAAGGCTCGCTTTAAAAACTAACCCCCCGCCTCACACGCATAGACACAAACATATAATAATCTTATATTTAAGGCAATTTCAAACAAACTATTACAAAAATATAATAATCTCATAGTTAAGGCAATTTCAAACACACAAACTAACAAACAAACAAACAAACAAACACAGGGAGGGGAATTTTTCCAAAGTTCTAGGGTGGATATTGGTATAAACATAAATAATTTTAAAATTACAATTATAAATTATGAAAAATAAAATTGAGGGTGAAAGTAAAATAACAAGAGCTTTTTTTTTTGGGGGGGAGGGGGTTATATAGATAAACAGAGGAAGGGGGTATAAATCATTCCTTACCTGTATTTGGGGGCAGAGAGTCAGAATGTGAAGGCACCTAGAGAGGGGAGGGGTGGGGGAGAGGGAAAATATTATTTATTTTACACAAATAATTATTGATTAATCAATAATTGCCAGCTCCAACATCCATCTAATTGCAGCCAAATGCTTCTCCTTTATGCATAATGCAAATATAATAACGAAAACAATTATCTGTCGAAAAGAGATTCTTTCTTACATGTAAACGACTTTCGCAGGTGTGGAGCGCATTCTCTCGCCGAAATTGGGAGCTTTTCTCAGCTGAGATCCTCTTCCACGATTGGGAGGGAGATGAAAATAATAATAATAATTTCTCCTTTTTTTTTCTTCAATAAGAACTTTTTGCCTCTCACAGAAGTTGAGAAGTGGGTCTCTCCCCAACCCCAACCCCAAAACACACACACACACACACCACAACAAAAAAATACAGAGTTCCCCAAATTGACTCGTTAGCTATTTAAGAAAAAAAAGAGGATTATGAAATAATTCTCCCCCCCACCCTTTTGGAAGGTGAATGTTCACTTCACTTTCCCACGGTGTGAGGAACAGTCATTGCAAAAAAAAACTTTCCCAAAACTTTGATCCACAGTTTCCAAAAAATAAAAATACAAGTTAAAGGAAAAGAAGGAGGGTGTGTGGGGTGGTGGTGGGAGGGGGGGGGGGGGGTGTTGATCGATAACCCAAGTCTCAGCCTCGATGGATGTCCAGGTCTCTCTGTCCCCCTCTTTCTCTCTCCCACTCACTCTTCCCTTCTGCAGCAGATCTCTCGACCACTTGACACAACAAGTCTGTGTGTGTGGACCTCAGTGTGTGTGTGTGTGTCAGTGGTTTCAGTGCGTGTGTTAGTTGCATTTTAGAGAGGAGGTGCTGTTTGCATGGTTGTGTGTGTGTGTTATTTGCAGCTATAATAAACCTATCACATATTTCTCTCTCTCTCTCTGTAAGGGAAGGGGTTGGAATGAGAGATATACATTACCCTATTTTCTCTCTCTCTTCCCCCCACACACAAACAGAAATAAATTCACTCAGACTTGAACCAAATTCAGATGCACAATTTGCAATGTTAATCAATGCATTCTTAATAACACCTCTCCTCTCCCCCTGCAAAGAAAAAATGGGATGTGACGAGGGGGGGGCGAGTGTGGGAGTAAATTTGCGCCATTCGATATGATAATTATCACAACACACCGCAATAATTGCCCACTGTCGCTTGCGAAAATACAAATTTGTTTTTGTTGGGGGAGGGGGTGGGGAGGCAAACAATTTTTTTATTTTTAAAAAAATGAGAATTTCAAATGAGAATTTGTAATGAGAATTTATTTTGGATTTATTCCTTTATTTTGTTAAAACATTCGGTTTTGTCATGTGTGAGTTAAAGGCTGTTTTTTGTCTTGATTCACAACTTGGCATAAACATTTGAACTCTTGCAGGCGAATCTCGATCTATATACGAGATACTTTTTTTTCAGAAAAACAATTACTTTACATTTTGCAATAAAAATTGAAAATAATTTAATTAAAAAAAGTATTTAAAATGAGCGACTGGTTTAAGATGTACATATCTGTGAATGTTCTTTCTGTAAAACGCTTCGATAATTCCCTGTTGTTAACTGTGATCTGTATGTGTGTATGTATGTGTATATATGTATGTGAGTATATGTATATATGTGTATGTGTGTCTATGTATGTGTGTATGTGTATATATGTATGCGTGTATATGTGTGTGTGTGTGTATGTATGTATGTATGTATGTATGTTTGTGTCTGTAGTTGTTTGCATGTATATGTTTGAGTTTGTACCAACCTACCCACTCGCTCCGCTCAGCGGGCTCTGTCCTGTTTCACGTCTCCCGCCCCACCATTGGCGGACTGACCTTCAGTCACTCTGCTCCCACCCTCTAGAACTCCATCCTTCAATCATTGCGCCCCACCCCCTCCCTTGCCTCCTTCAAGATCCGTCTCAAGACCCTCCTCTTCGACCGTGCCTTCGGTCATCATTCTTCCCCCCCTGCTCCCACCTTTCCAATCCCAACCCCCAACTCGGATCTGAAACACTGATTGTCCCATGCCTCGGGACATCCTCCCAATGTGAAAGGCGCTATACAAATGTAATTTTGTTGTTGTTACATAAGAACATAAGAAGTGTTAGATGAAAAAAAAAACAAGGATCCATTTAGTTTGCCTTCCACCCTCCTGGCAGTCACATGCACATATGTCCCAAACTACCTATGTACTATATCCCATCATGTTATTTCCTGAAAGAAAACTATCTAATCTGTGTTTGAAAGAATCAACACTTCCTGCTTCAACCATCTCCCTAGGGAGCCTGTTCCACAGGTTCACTATTTGCTCACTGAAATAGTGTTTGGGTAGATTCATTCTGAATTATCCCCCTTCAATCACAGGCCATGTCTTCTTGGTTTTACTATTCTGGACAAGTTGAAACAGCCTGTCATGATCTATATAGTTTTGCCCCTTTAGAATATTAAAGACAGCAATCATATCCACTCTCAATCTTCTCCTTTCCAGCGTGAACATGCCCAACTTACTTAGTCGCTCCTCATAGTCCAGTCCTTCTATTCCCGCAATCATTTTGGTAGCCCTTTTCTGTATCTTCTCGATTTCTCCAATATCCTTTTTGTACTGCGGTGACCAGAACTGTACACAGTACAGTTATTGTTTTTCCACTGTGTATATTAATTTCTGTGTATTTGTTCTCGTGTACATATATTTATGTGTATATTTATTTGTGTGAACGTGTTGCTGTATACGCGTTTGTGTGTGTCCTTGTTTGTACACGTTTTCTCCATCTCCTTTTATATGCTTCCTCTTCAAATCTTCAACCAGTTACTTTGACAATGTAGTTAGGATTGCAGCCTCAGCAGTCACAGTAACAAAGTGTTTTGCATTGTAATACCTCCCTGTGTGAGAATATTCCCTCTAAGCTCATCATTCACTTTGCCAGTGACATTCTTGACTTTATTCCCACTGGTTACTGACCGGTGAGAATAATCGTTCAGTATTTATACTGTCAGAACCTCTCAGGATTTCAATGGCTTCTTAACGTTCTCTGTTCAATGAGAACAGATCCAACAGTTGGAGCCAATCCTCATAGTTCCTGCCCCAAACCAGTCTCTATCACAATGAACCTTGCATTTGATATAGTGCCTTATCACGCCATCTCAAAGCGCTTCACAGAATACATTGTAAAGAGGATTGACTGTATATCATGTAGGAAAAATGTGGCAGCTAATTGCGTACAGCAGTGCCCCATAAACAGTTGTGGTTTGAGCGGTCACATTTTTTTTGAGGGATTCTTACACTCCACCATTCCACCAATCGACTAACAATTGGATTCCTACTTACTCCTAGGTAAACAGAGACATGTGGAGTAAAGAAACTTGTCCAAGGTTTCACCCTACCCAGGAATCGAATCTGGGTCCTTTCGCTTGCGAGGCGATCGTGCTAACCACTACACTACATGTACACTACATGTAGCGCCTTATCACATCAATGACTCCTCTCAGAGATCTTTATAGGAAAGTGCAGTGAGTATTTTGTAGTCAAACACAGCCAATTTGCGCAAGCGATGTCCATGAACTGAATGGTCAAATTTTATTTGAGGGATTGTGGGCCAGGACACCGGGAGAAAGAAACTCCCTTCTCCTTTGCAGTACCGCCCCAGGATCTTTAACGTCCACCAGCACAGGCAGACAGGACCACAGTTTAACATCTCATCCAAAGAACGGCACCTCTGACAATGCAACCCCCCCCACCCAGCACTGCATTGTAGTGTCAGCTTAGACTATGTGATTCCAAGTCCTGACATCTCAACCTTCTGACTTAGAGGCAAAAGTGCTACCACTGAGCCAGACTGACACACAAAGTCCATTGGAGGAGTTCCCTCATCCCTCCCTTCCCTCTCTCTTCTTTTCCTCATTCTTCCTTTCCCCCTCCTTCACTCCTCACTTCCTACTTCACTCTTCCCCTCCTTTACCACTCCTTCCCTCCATCCTCACTTCATTTTTCTCTTCCTTTCCTCCTCCCCTCTCTCATTCTTCTCTCCTCCCTCATTCCTCCTTTCCACCTCCCTTGCTTCCTCTTCCCTTTTTCACCATCTTCCTCGCTCTTCTCTCTCACTCCTTGCTCCATTTAGCTGCCCTCCCAACATCCTCAAAACATTCCTCAAAAGATCTATCTCTAAGTCTCAGAACCCAAGCCAACCCAAGCCCCAGATAAGTTGGTCGCTCAATTCATGTTGATTTCTGTGCACAAGATTCATATGGTGCTGTATCATATGCCAGAATTATTATTATAGTAAAATATTTGTGTGTCAGCCTGGCTCAGTGGTAGCACTCTTGCCTCTGAGTCAGAAGATTGTAGGTTCATGCCCCACTTTGGACTTGGAATCACATTGTTTAAGCTGACACTACAATGCAGTGCTGGGGCGTGTTGCATTGTCGGAGGTATTGTCCTTCGGATGAGAATTTAAATCAAGGTCCTGTCTGCCTGTTTAGGTGGATGTTAAAAATCCTGTGTTACTGTTCGAAAAGAAAAGCATGTTTCTCTCTCCTGGTGTCCTGGCTGACAATCCCCCAAATACAATTGGTCACTCACTTTACAATATATAATTTGACATCTCAACAATGGGATATCAAATTAAAAGATAATTTTTTTTTAAAAAATGGCTTGATGCAGTAATTGGAGGATGGCAGGATGGGTACGCAACCTAGGCATCAGGTTCAACCCCCAATTATTCTTCCTCCCCCACATCTGGTCCCTCACCAGCACCGCCTTCTACCACCTCCGACGCATCGCCCGTCTCCGCCAATACCTCTCCCCAAAAGCCGCTGAAACGCTGTTCCATGCCTTTGTCACCTCTCGACTAGACTACTCTAACACCCTCCTCGCTGGTCTCCCATCCACTACCATCCATAAAATCCAAATAGTTCAAAACTCTGCCGCCCGCATTCTCACCCGCACCAAACTCCGCTCCGCGATCAGACTGCACTGGCTCCCTATCCCAGAGAGGATCGATTTCAAGATCCTCACCCTTGTATTCAAGTCCCTGCACTCCTCTGCACCCCCTACCTCTCTGACCTCCTCTCTCCTCAAAACAGTACGCATTACCTTCGTTCCTCCGGGTCTGGTCTCCTCCTCGTCCCCCGAGTCCCTCCGCTCCACCCTCGGCGGCCGAGCCTTCAGCCACTATGCCCTGAGGCTCTGGAACTGC